AACCAAACACTGCATGTTCTCAATCATAGGTGGGAATTGAACAATGAGAACATTTGGACACAGGGTGGGGAACATCACACACCAGGGCCTGATGTGGGATGGGGTGAGGGGGGAAGGATAGCATTAGGAGAAATACCTAATGTAAATGACGAGTTAATGGGTGCAGCACACCAACATGGCACATGTATATATATGTAACAAACTTGCACATTGTGTACATGTACCCTAGAACTTAAAGTGTAATTTTACAAAAAGGCAAAAAATAAATAAATTTAGTAAGACTTGGTGTCCTTTTTAGACCCAAGTGTCAAAGCCCTGTAACTTAATGTCACAAGTACTTTAAAATCACATACAGAAGGATACATGGATGTAATAACCTCAATTTAAAAAAAATTTAATCTGTTTTTTTCCTAAGCAAACCAAAACTTTAATAATAATGATATAGGAATTATTTTAATAAGATGTAAAATCTGTTAGGCCAGTTACCAAAAGACAAAATAAAAGACCTTCTGCAATGTACCAAATATCATTTTGTAAGAAAACATTTCTTTACATCTTTAAGAAAGTATTGTTAGCATTAGGCCACAACAAACAGAACTTGAAGAAAAAAAAATATGAGCTGAAAATGAGTTGAAGGACAGTGTTATTATTTCATGCCTTTTAAAAGGGGAGAGAAAACCAAAAACAATGAGATACAGTAAATTGTTGAACTTTGGGTTAAAAAATTAAAATCTCTTATAATTTATTAAGAGTAAATCAATCCCTTTAGAAAATTTTATTGTTCTAATCAATTCTTTAGTGTACAAGTTTTTTTTTTTTTACATCAAGCCCAATCTTTAGAAAGACCATTTTAATTGCCCTTTACTTATAGGTAACTTGATCATATAAAAGTTTTTTTTTTAATAAAACCTTTTATTGTGACTTACACAGACCATTAATGACATGTTTGGACTTTCTGGTTTGTCCTGAACATTCCTCTTTCTTAAACAACCAGCCATTTTATTCTAGGTCTAAATTTACCATATAAGATTCTGTAACTGCCCAAGGGGTCCACTTTATCTGTTGCCTAGACAGAGTCAATTTATCAAGACAGGGCAATTGCAATAAAGAGTAATTCATGCAGAGCTGGCTGTGCAGGAGACCAGAATTTTATTATTACTCAAATCAGTCTCCCTGAAAACTCTGGTATTGGTGTTTTTAAAGATAATTTGGTGGGCGGGGGGGCGGGGGGCAGTGAATTGGGAGTGCTGATTGTTTGGCTTGGGTGTGAAATCATAGGGAGTCCAGGCTGTTCTTATCTGCTGAGTCAGTTCCTGGGTGGGAGCCACAGAACTGGTTGGCCCATCTGTTTGTTAAAAATGCAAAAACCTGATAAGACATCTCAAAAGGATGATCTTAGGTTCACAATAGTGACATTACCTTCAGAGTAACTGGGGAAGTTGCAAATCTTACAACCTGTGGAATAATGGCAGGCAATATTTAGAATTCCAGCCCCTCTCATCTTGACTTGGTGGCTGGTGGCCTTTCATTTGTTTTACAAGAACAGTTTAGCCTTTTAGGGAGGACTATTATATAAACTATACACTAAATCCCTTCCCAAAGCTAGTTTGGCCTATGCCCAGGAATAAACAAGGACAGTTTAGAGGTTAGAAGCAAGATGGGATCAGTTAGGTCTGATATCATTCACTGTCATAATTTTCTCAGTTATGATTTTTACAAAGGTGGCTTCAATCCTTTCTCATGTAAAATTATTTCTCTTTAAGCTTTCTTACAAAAAAATACCTCTTTATCTCTATACCTTTCTTTACATTTCTCCTATTTCCTGGTTCCTTTACCTTGTTTTATACATAACTTTTAAATAAGCTTTTAATTAGACAAAAATTGTTCACCTTTTTAAAAAGGACACTTTTTTTTAGAAAGAATGTTTTCCTACAATATATTTTTATTGGAAAATACCCACATAATGAAATATGTATCATTTAATTTAATTTTAGATTCTAAAGCATGACATTTGTCTACAAGTATTTATCTCATTATATTTACCTAATTATTTTATTTTATTCATTTACCTAGATTATTTATGAAAACTATGATACTCATCATTTAAAGTTATGAAACTTGCCATTACAAAATTCTAACTGAGGCAGTGAAAAATATATGAACTAACTGACTCTATCTTGCTTCTAACCTCCAAGCTGGTCCTTATTGATTCCTGGACTTTGGGAGGAACTTAGTTTATAGTTTAGCTTTGAAACAATGATGGTAACAGTCCTTTCCCAAAACAAATCTCCTTACTGCCTGTGGACTATACTGCCTACAGCCATAAGATTAGAAGTTATGTTAGTTTTACTAAATAATTCAAGATATAGTTATTTTCATTAAATCAATATCAATGTCTTATTTATTAAAGATCACACAAGCAAAGATTAATCTGTATTAGGCTAGGTTTATAGTTTTGTAACCCCTGTGCCAAATTCTGACACCTTATAGTATTTGGCAGGGATAAGTATGAAACTGCTTGATTAATAAATGCAAATAAAAATGTATGCTGATAATTCTTAAGACATTCCTAATACTACTTTACCAATAATTTTAAAGCTAACTTATTTATTAATGATTTTAAGTCCCATAAACTTGAAAAAGCATTTGACTAGTATTTCCTTTTTCTGATAAAGTATTTAAGTGCTTTTATTTTTATTTAACCAATTAATTAGAGCTCTCATATATTTTCAGTAGTGAAATATTGTGTACACAACACATAAATACATAGATGTATTAGGCATGCTGATAGAAGTACATCTTATAGATTAATAAAGACCTTTTTCCCTCCATCTTAGACTTTCAGATTCTTGATAACCTGTTTCACAACTCAAGGCAGTTGTCAGATAAAAAGTCTTAAATTTGCATATTAAAGGAAACAACTCAGGTGAAAATCAAATAGCAAAATTTACATCATAAGGTACAGAGAGAAAAAGTCTGGTGGTTCTAGAGGGAGATTAAAGATGAATGCCAAATCAAACATGAAATTATAGAAATCTTTAATAGGATTGCATAAGGAGACCAATTTTATTTAGATAGGAACTATCTATTTTTTAACCGGATCTCTGAGCTCTGGGCAGAGGAATTATTTTGAGGTTAGACCATGTGATGCTTTTACAGTACACTTAAAAAAATTTTTTTAACAAAGACATTTCAAAGTGTTTAAATTAGACCCCTCCTTAAAAACCCCAGAGTAGCCTCTGTTGCAATAGCTATTAATGAAGAAAACAAAATTCATTCAACTGAGAGGAAAAAAACTTTTGCTCAAAAATAAGACAGGGTCTTAGAAGGACCAAAAAAAAAAAAAAAAAAACCCCATGAAGGCCTTTTAAATACAAACACACACACACACACACACACACACACACACACATCTTGAATATTAGCTTTTAATTAAGATGACTTGTAACCATTGAGCTCCTTTAAAAAAATCTTTTAAAATCTCCTTACTATATTCCAGCTAGGACAAACTGCTGCTATTTCAGCAGTACCAAGTATCAAACCAGAAAGGGTTTGATTTAGGAACCAAACCCAGGCTGTCGTGGTGGAAAAAAAAAGAAGGCAGAACCTTAGCTATCAAACTGCAGTATGGGGTAATATCCATTTCAGTTTGTTCTGGCTAGCAAAAAGGTGGCCTCATTATGTAAATAAAGCCTCTTTAGTAGTCAAAATAAAAAACCTTTCCTCTTTTTGTTTTCCTTGGTTGGCCATTTTTCTCCCCCACCACACCACCTTTTTGTGTGTGTATGGGAATTTAGCCACTTCAGAGGCCTTCTTCCCTATAATTTGGAATCTCCTTTGGATTTGACAAAGTCAGATAGAGTTGATCAAACCCAATGGGAAAAAAGACCAAAACAACAAAAAAACAGTTAAGCAAAACAAACAATGGTACAACTTAGAAGATCACTGAGTGCTCTAATGGTAAGGAGAAATTAAGACTAGCTGGTTGTTAGTCTTAAATTTAACCAAGACAAACCCTAATTCAGGTACTTACCTAGGGTGGGTCTCAGGCTGTAGACTGCTCTCTACCATCCTAGAAGCAGGGAAAAAGCCTCATCTTCCCTGTCAGAAGGGAGCTCAAACTCCATAAAGGAATTATCTGCCTTCCATTATCATGGAAACAGGAAATCTTGCCTTCCTTGTTGGAAGCAAGTAAAACTCCAAAAAAAGAGGAGTTGTATTAGCTTAGTGATTTGGGGACCCAAGATTTATTTTCCTTTCACATGCTTTATTGGCAATAAAATCATTACAGATTCTGGACTGAATAAAATATTAGGACAACACTAGTCTGGGCAGATCAGGAGGTTTCTATCACGGACAAATTCCAGCACAGAAGAGATGGCAAGGATTAATTAATGTGACAGCTATTAACTGAGTGATTACAATGAGCCAAGCAACAGCCTCCCATTTGGAATACAACAATGTTAAGAACAGAAAAAGATCCCTGACTTCATGGGCCTTATATTCTCATAGACAGATATAGACATTAAGCAATAAATATGTAAATAAGTAAATTCTATGGTATATTAGAAAGTGATAAGTGTTATAACAAAAACTAAAGAAAGATGATGAAATATGAGAGTTTGTAGGGGGAGGGAACAGCAGGTTACAATTTTAAATAGGGTGCTCAGGGTAGGCCTCATTAAGAGGGTGATATTTTAGCAAGTACCTGAAGAAAGTAAGGGAGGTAGCCATGTACAAAGCTGGGGCAAGTGGGCTCCAGGCAGAGGAAACAATCAGTGCAAAGGACCTGAAATGGGAGTGTAGCTGAAGGAACATACCAGGCAAGTAGGACTGAAAGCAAATGAGTCAGGGAGAGAGATGAAGTGAAGTAGAGGGAGGAGGGGGGCACAGATGATAGGTTTTGTTGGCCATTTTAAGTCTTTTGACTTTTCTCTGAAGGGAATGGTGAGCTATTTACTAGGGAGTTTTGAGCAGAAGAATGATATAATCTGACTTACATCATACAAGCATCTCTTTGGCTGTGCCAAGTTGAGGCATGCATTTGACTTGAACCAAAGCTCCCCTTCAGATGATCTTACATTTCACATCTAGAAAAGGAAACGAACAAATGAAATATGGAGATGTGTCACAAGGAGCGAGAGAAGGAAAGTTTAAAACCAGCTAGGGGCTGGTTACTCTGCCTATGGAGTAACCATTCTTTATTCCTTTACTTTTCTAACAAATTTGCTTTCACTAAAAACAAACAAACAAACGGCGGCTAGCAAGTCAGCTATGGAGAGGTTTGTTTTGAACAATCCCATGCAGAAATTCCAGAAATGTTTCCCAACGTGTAATAAGCTTTTGTGCAGTGATTGTCCATTTTTGTGCCCTAGAAAGTGTACCTACTTCAAGAGAGCCACTCCAAGGATGTTAAACAGGCCCTACTTGGCAGAGTATAGGCTCCTCTAGTGGGCAACACAGAGCCAGAGGCCTTAACACCTCAGTGCACCTTTTTTTTTTTTTGGCTAATTCCTGCTGCTTTTTTTCCTAAACAGGAAAGAAACTACTTTCCAACAAGCAAAATATACCTCAAAACTCATTCACAGTACCAACTTGATCAAGGCACTGGCACAGAACACTTTTATTAAAATAATCTATATCATCATTCACTCAAAGGACATTTATCAAACACTTGCCATGTGCTAGGGACTTTTCTAGATGCTGGGGATTCAAAGAGAAAGATTCCTTCCTGTCTTCATATTGCTTATACTTTAGTCAAAGCACCAATTTATACATTAAAAGTGTTTATAGACTATAAGTGCTTTTCTAGATATAGGACTCAAAGGCTCTGAGGAGAGAGTAATTTACATTGTCTGAAGAATGGGGAAAAACGTCATGAACCAGATTTCACTACAGCTGCATTTTGAAGTTGTGGAAATTATGGTATACTCAGGAAATGTCTTCTCTAGGATGGAATATGAAGTTAATGGGGGACAGTGGCAGAAAGGCAGATCAACGTCATATAACAAAGGGTCTTAAATTCCTTGATAAGAAAATCAGAGTGAACACTTTCAGGCAAAAGCAGAAGAATCTCATAATTATTTATATCTCTTAGGTAACTTTCAGCAGTGTCAAAGGTAGACTTGAGAATCACAATGAAGTTTCTTTCTTTTTTCTCTGTTTTGACCCTGTAAATCATGGGCATAGAGATTAGGAGTCTCTCCTCTGGAGACTCAATGGGGGGATACCCTAATAGGTGGAAAGACAAGGGATTAAAATAGAAATCTTTCAGTGGCAATAGAGGAGATGGAAAAGATGAAAAGATTTCAGGGATACAGTGTGGTAAATATGTCATTTGCACTCTATATGATTGTCACCCCAAATCATAGGTGAGGCTCTGACTCCCCTGGCAAACAGCATGTGTCTGGGCTGTTTCCTAATCTAACACTGTAGACACACGTTCATTCGGATGCCCATTAGATTACTAGATTCTTTAAGGCAGGGCTCGTATCTTTTCATCGCGGTATTTCTAAAGCTTTCCAACGATAGGGCACAAGGTGGGCTGTATGTTCGTTGAATGAGTGGAAAATAGGCATTCCTAGATGAAGATGACAAGCTATCTCTAAGTGTAAGCATTCATTGTTGTTGTTTTGTTTTTTTCTCTTTCTTTCTTTTTCTTTTCTTTTATTTTTTTTGAGGTGGAGTCTCGCTCTGTCGCCCAGGCTGGACTGCAGTGGCCTGATCTCAACTCACTGCAACCTCCGCCTCCTGTGTTTGAGCGGTTCTCCTGCCTCAGCCTCCCAAAGTGCTGAGATTACAGGCGTGCACCACCATACCCGGCTAATTTTTGTATTTTTAGTAGAGACGGAGTTTCGCCACGTTGGCCAGTCTGGTCTCGAACTCCTGACCTCAGGTAATCCACCCACCTAGGTCTCCCAGAGTGTTAGGACTTCAGGCGTGAACCACAGTGCCCAGCTTTAGTGTAAGCATTTGCATTAATGGTTCAATGATAGCAAGACAGTATGTTTTTTGATCAGGGTTCAACCTAACCTTTCCTTGCATTTTTATAAACAGCTTTTATTAATTTGCCAAACTTCCCATCTGACAAATAGCCATAGAGGCTAGAGTACTAACTTCAAAGTACCTTTTTTCCTTAGCTGATTTTATCGAGTGGTTCTGTGCCATGGAGTGTTCTGAGAAGACGTTAGAAAAGGAGAAGGACCGGTTTCCATATCAATTGGATGGTGACAGCGAACCTGATTCAAGTCCCTAAATCTCAACTACACGCGGGCGTTCCGGAATGAAAACGCTGACGTTCCAATTTCCGGCTGGAGCCGCAATATGTTACCGTGGATCGATTGCTTTTGCCTGGCAGATACTCCTCAGGAGAGGACCGGTCACCCATTGGCCCAGGAAGGTGGCGGGTCCGTGACGTCCTCATCTTGGCAGGTGCTTGGGCCGCTGAGATTCCAGAGGCTGCGCAGGGTCCGCCTGGCAGGTGTCCAGTCAGCCGGAGATGTAATCACTTTTGCACCCCAGGCAGTGCGCTAGACCACGATCCTGTGCTACGGGGGCCCATGATGATGTGGAGTTGAAGGGGCGGCAGCCAGGAGGCTTGAGAAAATGTAGGGCGGGGATTTGGAAGGGATGGGGCCACCTGCTGGGCAGTCTGGAGATTGCTGGGAATCTCTTCCAAGTGAGACCAGGAGAGGGACCCTGCCTCGATGGACGGAGAGTTTTTAGACAGTTCTTTTTATTGTCAAGGGTGAGAGACTGGCAGGAGACAACAACATTAACTGACCTCGGGTCAGATTTTAACCTAAGTCTTGATGATTACAAAACCTGCATTTTTCTTATTACAGTAGGACGCTTCCCAGGATCACTGGGACTAAATGTGGTTCTTTGTACCATTTTGGGCATCTTCCACAGGTCAGTTTCCTGGTCTGTGAAATGGGCGTATTCGTACTTCACATCGTTGTAGAGATGTATAAAGTGCTTAGCCAAATGTCTGCCAAATGGTGGGGGCTCCCAAAGTGATAACTGTGTTGTCATTTGTTTCTACAACTCTTTTGTACGTGCCTTTAGTATATTACTGTTGGCATGATCTTAGATGTTGTTTCTTGTATAATTGTGTCCCCTTCTACCCTGAAAGCCCTGAGGTAAGGGACCTTGTCCCATTGTTAAAGGGAATGTAGGTTGACTTAGGTATAACAATGGAAAGATTAAACCTTGGAATTTGTCAGACCCAAGTCGAAATACAAACAATTCCTTTTATGTGCTTTTTTTTCCCCCCCAAATGGGCAAGTTGTTTGCTTTTGCAACCCTCAGTCTTGTCCATTTGGATAAAGCTTTGAAACAGGAGCTAAGCCTTCCAGTGTGAGTTAGGTCCAGTTGTACTAATAAGGCCACTTCATTTACACACAACATAAGTATTACTTTTGGAAGGGTTATGAGTCTTATCTTGGTAGCCTGCCAAATATGCTAATTAACCTGTCGGCACAAATGGAGCCAGAAAGACCGAAAACATTAGGTTCAAAGCTCTTTATTCCAACAAAACTATTTCCTAGAATGAACTCAGGTAATAGGTCTTTTCCCGTATAGGAATCTTGTGTAAAAACAGCGTATTATCACATAAATGCCATAATTACTATAACATCTTCAAGGTGGATTATTTTCTTTAGTAAATATTAGTAATCTTTGTGCAACAACATACTGAAGAAGGCTTTAAAGTACCAGATATAAATGCCCATCAAATTGGGAAGACTGGATAAAGAAAATATGGTACATGTACACCATGGAATACTATGCAGCCATAAAAAAGAATGAGATCATGTCCTTTGCAGGAAAATGGAGCGGAGGCCATTATCCTCAGCAAACTGACACAGGAAAACCAGTACCACCTGTTCTCACTTGTAAGTGGGAGCTAAATGATGAGAACACCTGAACACGAAGGGAACAACAGACACTGGGGCCTACCTGAGAGTGGAGGGTGGGAGGAGGGAGAGGATCAGAAAAAATATCTGTAGGGTACTAGGCGTAGTACCCGGATGATGAAACAGTCTGCACAACAAACCCCCGTGACACAAGTTTACCTATTTAACAAACCTGCACATGTACCCCTGAACCTAAAATAAAAGTATTTTAAAAATAGAGCACCAGGTATATGCTAACAATCTCCTTTTCTTCTCAATAAACCTTTTGAAAAATACTGAATTTTCTGCTTCAGCTTCTTCCCTTCCTATTCCCAAAATTCCTCTATATCACCAGTGATCCACTACTTTTCACATCTAATATTTTCTCATTTTTGTCTACCCTGACTGTTCTGCAGTATATGTTCCTTATGCACATTCTGCTTTTTAAAAACTACTGTGTTACATAAAACCATTATGCTTAGCCTTCTCATAGCACGGTGCTGGGTTCCCAGGGGGAGCTTCTCTGGGAGGTAAAATCTGGAGACTTCGTTCCACGTGAACAGGTGAAAGGTTTTTTTAAAAAAAATTTATTGTATTTTATTTTATATTTTTACCTAGCCTCAGAAGTAATCAGGTTCATGTCTCTTGCACTCTGGTAGTTACAAACAACCACTAAGGCCAGCTAAGCCCAGGTTCAAGGGTAGGGTAATTGAGATTCCACCTCTTGGTGGCAGAATAGCAAGGTTACATAGCATTAAAAAATGTAGAATGGAAGCTATCTCTGGAAAATACTATCTACCATACACACACACACATACACATGTATGTACATATATGTATATATATTTGTGTGTATATTTACATACAGATAGTTTTTCTTTCTAAAGAACAACAATGTTAGTAAGTTAGTCTGAACTTTATATCTCTGCTGTTTTGTAGGAATCAAAGTTTTGCCTTTATCAGTGCTACTTCCTTTTCTCCCCATTGTTTCTTTGTGGTAGCCCACATAGCTACTATACACAAAAACATGAAGTAACCACTTTGTGGGCAAATTGCCATTTTATTTATTTGTTTTTTTGAAATGGAGTCTCACTCTGTCGTCCAGGCTGGAGTGCAGTGGTGCGATCTCAGCTCACTGCAACCTCTGCCTCCCAGGCGCAAGCAATTCTCATGCCTCAGCCTCCTAAGTAGCGGGAACGACAGACGTGTACCACCATACCCGTCTATTTTTTTTATTTTTAGTGGAGATGGGGTTTCATCATATTGGCCAGGCTGATCTCAAACTCCTAACCTCAAGTGAACCCCCTGCTTTGGCTTCCCAAAGTGCTGGGATTACAGGCGTGAGCCACCGTGCTTGGCCCATTTGCCACTTTAAATACTTGGATGAGCAGCTAGGCTCATGTCTTTAACCTACTAAGTGAACCTGTGTAGAGAGGAAAGTGATCTGGCTTCCCTCAATCATTAAGTAAAAGATGAAGAACAGGGTGCCTTCTTTCTCTATAATTTGGGTGATACATGTAATCTCAATTTACTGGGATTTCCTTGGAGTCCATTAGCAGGTTGCCAGTCCTTTTTAACATGCCCTGTTTTCTGAATTCCAACTAGGAAATTTTCCACCATGCGCATGTTGCTTTTCACCATTGGATAAACATTGCTTGAAATTATATTGATGGGCAGGTGCAATGTTGAATGTAACAAGGATTTTGATATTGCTATGGTAGTCTCCTAATGTGGGCCTTACGGCCAGCAAGAGAAGGTGCTTCATATTCAAGTTAACTTTGGTTTGCTATAATGTAGTTAGGTTAAGAGAAAGTTTCAGCAGAAAAGTGAAATTGCTAACTCTGTCCACCTCCAAGCTAATCCTACTTTCCATGGACAGTTACACCCCTAGACACGCATATGTACCTCAGTATCTTCTCAGCCCACAGTGCTTCCCAAATTTCATGCCCCCCTTTCTATTTTTTGCAATATCTGTGTACCACCCTACTATCTGTATTAGATTTATATTGTGCTAACAAGCTCTCACAAACTCAGTGGCTAAAACAACACAAATGTATTATTTTACAATTCTTGAAATCAGACATCTGACACAGGTGTCACTGGGCCAAAATGAAGGTGTTGGCAGGGCCGCAACCCTTCCTGGAGAATCAAAGATAAAATTTATTTCTTTGCCATTTCCAGCTTCTGGAGGCTGCCCTCATTCCTGGTTTGCATTTCTCTTCTATCTTCAAGGGCAGCAATGGCAAATTGAATCCATCTCACATCGCATCACTCTGACCTCCACTTCTGCCTCCGTTTTTCACCTTTAAGGACCCTTATGATTACACTGGGACCCCCACGATAATCCAGGATAATCTTCCTATCTTAAAGTCAGCCATCAGCAACCTTAATTCCATCTTCAACCTTAATCCCTTCCTGCCATGTAAAATAACATATTTAGTGTCCAGGGATTATAAGGTAGACATCTGCCTACAACAAGAAGATTTTATTATTATATACATCTTATATAATAAGATAATAATCTTATACGAAGATTTTATTATTTTAGTGTGTTGAGATATATGTGTGTGTGTGTATATATATATATCTAAAATACTCGAATAGCAATTATAAAGCCATCTACAAGTTACCACTTAACCCTTACGTTTCTTTCAACCTTCATAATATCCGAAGCACTGCTGTATTAGTCTGTTTTCATGCTGCTGATACAGACATACCTGAAACTAGGAACAAAAAGAGGTTCAATTGGACTTACAGTTCCACATGACTGGGGAGGCCTCAGAATCATGGTGAGAGGTGAAAGACACTTCTTTCATGGCAGCAGCAAGAGAAAATGAGGAGGAAGCAAAAGTGAAAACTCCTGATAAACCCATCAGATCTCGTGAGACTTACTCACTATCACGAAAAGAGCATGGGAAAGACTGGACCCCATGATTCAATTACCTCCCCCTGGGTCCCTGCTACAACTCATGAGAATTCTGGAAGATACAATCCAAGCTGAGATTTAAATGTGGACATAGCTAAACCATATCGACTATGAACCAATGAGACCTTAAGTAGAATTCTCTGCCTATCAGATAGGCAGAGATGAAAACATTTGACAATGTTTACACATGATTTTGACATGTGTAAAGATGAAAACATTTGACAATGTTTACACATGTTAAACATTTACACATGATTAATGAAAATGTGTAGAAATATGCACATTCACTGTTGTGATGTGCATATTAATTAATTTGATGTAAATTTGAAAAGTGTACCAAAAATTTAAAATAGCTATCCTTTTTGGCCTAACATTTCCACCTCTGCAAAGTAAATACTGAGATGTTCTTTACAAGATTGTTTGTAATTTTGAAGAAAAGAAAAAAGAGATAGTATCTCTCTATATATGAATATATAGA